GCGAGCTAGAAGCTCACTCGGTGAGTCACCGAGTAGCTTTTACGAGTTCCAGCCTTCCTTTTCTCCAATTTTTTTTAACTTTTATTCTTCTTTTCAATTGTAATGTCCTTGCCTTGTTTTTGAGCCTTCAGGTTGGACATAAACAAATTAACATCATTTATTAACACAAAATAAGCATCGAGGACACTAATGCATTAAATAACAAGCCCTAAATGAGTCAAATTTCCGACTCATCAACTCTCCTGTTGGATAGAATAAAACCAGGTCCTTTGTTTTCTTCAAATATCTAAGGATTCTCTTAACAACCTTCAAATATGATTCATTTGGACAAGCTTGGATTCTTGCACATATTTGAAAACTGAACGCAATGTCTAGTCTACTAGAAATATGATACAACAAGAACCCAATGATACCTCTATACATGGTCTCATTCACATCCAGACAAAGTCAGTCAACATCCAGCTTCGAATTGGTTCCCATAGGAGTATCAATAGGCTTGGCATCCATCATGTGAAATTTCTTCAACAACACTTTGATGTATTTCTCGTCCGTTACTGAGCTTGATCAGATTCTTCATTCTCACCTTCAGAATCTACATTGTTAGTTTGAACTGCATCAACTTGTTCGAGATTGTCTACCAGACCAGGTCCCTCATCAGGTTCTTCGTCTTCATCAATTTTTTTAAGATTATTGGTTTCTTGAGAAGGGTTTTTTCAGCAGGTTCATCATTCAAGTTGTTCCTCTGAATGTGAAGCATCTCTTCAATCTCAGAATCTTCTTTGCTCTTTAGATTCTCAATCCCACAAGACTCATCGAACATCACATGGATACTTTCTTCAGCGCGTAGTGTATTTTTGTTGTACACACGATAAACCTTATTTGAAGAAGAATACCCCGCAAATACTTATTCATCACTCTTGGGATCAAATATCCCAAGATCTTCCTTTCCACTGTTCAAAATAAAGCATTTGCATCCAAAGGCCCTTAGATAACTGAGTTTGGGCTTTTGACTGTTAAACAATTCATAAGGAGTTTTGTTTAGAATAGACTTGATTAGATACATTTTTGTCACATAACATGCAATATTCACAACTTCAGCTCAAAATTTGCTTTTTCTGTTTCAATGATGATATAATCTACTTCCCGTTTAACACAGACATCACAAGCTTTGTCATTTGCAATTTTATATTTGGCAGACCACGAACCAAGTCTCTTCACTCACATGGAAAAGTCTTTTGTGTCATATATCAACATTCTCACCTTGAGAACTAAGGCAAGTGAGACTATCACTATGAGCAGTAGCTAGATCAACAATATACATGTGCTTGTATCTCTTTGCTGTCAAGATCACCACCCGAAAGATCAAGTTTGTGACCACACATTTATCTAATCAGAACTTAACTCCATTTTCTTTATCACAAATTTGTGAAACACTTAGAAGATTGTACTTCAACCAATTGACATAGTACACATCTTCATGGAGTGTCCACAAACTTTCCAATCCTGCCTACGCCAATAATGTACCCTTTCTTGCTATTGCCAAAAGAGACACCTCCACCCTTTTTTAGTTTTCTCAGGCATGTGCTTTGAGAATCCACAATTCATGAAACAACATTGGTTGATGCTAGTTCCCCTCACCTACATAACATATCACTTGTTAGCCTTGGGAACCCACTTGAGTCAGAGTTCCTTGTAAGTAGATAAATGAGTGATAAGAAAAAAAAATTGTCCAGTAAGAAAGACTGGTTTTCTTCAATTAGGACCAGAAGCAGGACCAGGTCCCTTCTTTTGCTCGTTTCTCCGTTTAGAATAGTTGGGAAAACTTTCTTCATGTTTTTGTTAAAATTGAACAGTCCTTGGTCATTTCGACCACAATGCAAACAAAGCAGATTATTGACAATAGAGACATATTTGTTGTGGGGATTGTAAGGATAATCGATTTTCATATAGCCTAGACCTCTTCCACCATTATGTTCCTGATTAGTGAGATTTGAAAGCTAGTTGGAGGAAGCAATCCATTTGAGGGATTTGTTCAATTCTTCTTTCACACGAATCAGGTCCCTCTCTAACTAAGCATTCCTTTCTAAGGTCATTGAGAGCTTCACTCAGCAGTGTTTAACCCTATTTCCAATTCATACTGCAAAATGTTTGCCTCACTTTCTCCTTTTGAGACCCTTATAGTGATCCCTTTTATTTTTTCCCTTTAATTCTAGATTTTTAGCTTCTAAAACAACCATTTGTTCTTCCATATCAAATATTTGGGTGACTAAAGCAATTTTCCATCTTGAAAGATGTCTAGGTTGTTGTTCAAGAGATCCTTCTTAGTGATTAGCTCACTGATTGAATCAATTAGTACAACAACTAGCTTTCTCAATTTACTATTGGAAAAGATATTCAAGCTTTCCTTGAATTTAGATAGGGTTACCTCTTCAATAACATCATTCTTCTAGACAACCTCATTATACTGTTGTTGAGGTTTGGGAACAAGTCTTGTGATTTCTCCAACCTTCACATCGATTGTAGGAATGTGAGAACCATCAAGAACAATATCTGAAGGCTCACTATCATGAGCCATCAGATAGTCATGCATGCGAGTATTCCACCAACAGTAGAACATGCCATTAAATAGAGGTGGCCTAATTGATGATTGACCTTCTTCTAGATCTAGTGGAGCTGCCATTCTCATATGAATCTCTCTTGGTGTTAACCTGATAGAGAGGTTAGGCTGTGATACCAATTGATAAAATGGATGTGTCCACTAATGGTCACTAGACCAAGTCCCTCAATAGAATAATAGTGTAGAAAATAAATAACTTAAAGTAAATCAAACACAGGGAACTTTACGTGGAAACTCCCTTGTTTAAGGGAGGAGAAAACCACGACCTATACTCACAGGATTTCAACTCAAACTCCATTTCACTTAAAACGGAGCAAAGCATCATATTACAAACTCTTATAACCTAGGAATTAAACTCTTAATCTCTTTCCCCTTACTGTAACAACTCTACTACAAAGGAAACTACGCAATAACTCTATTTCCCACTAAACCATAACTCTAGTTGATCTAGACTTCAAGAACCCAACAAGGCTAACCAACTACAGATCTCAAAGATAAGAGAAGAAACAAGAAGCGAATCTACTACACCCACACATCAACTAACTTAGTTGACACTCTTAGGCAACTCTACCCAAGAGAAGATCAAATCAATGATGTAAAGAGGCTTATGACTAAAACATAGATGATTCGACTAACTAACTCTAGTTAATCCAACTCAAACTAAAGACTTAGACAACCAACTAAACTACTATCCTTTATAACTTAGGAGTAGATTTACAATAAAAGAACACAAGACACAAAGCTCAAAATACAACAAACGACGCTTCAGCACTCCATCAGGTCCCTTGTTGAGTATGAGCAGTGCTCTTCCTTGAAGATGACTCTTTCTTTGTGAGCTTATGAATTTTCAGAATTCAAAAGTTTATTTTCCAAAACTTGAGTTATGTCATTGGAGGAAAAGACTAATATAGAATGGACACAAACCCTTGGAGTAAAGCCATTGGCTGGAAATCTGCTGCTCTACAAAGACGTGCACCAACCACAATATATTTGACAACTTTTAGATAATTATCTTTTGTCATTTTTATGTACGGAGTCTTTCCTCAACCAGGTCCCTTGTTAGAATCCGAAGTTTATTAAATCATCAAAACTTCTGATCAGCTCCAAAATAACTTTAGTTAATTTCAAATGGTTGATGTGAACAAATAACAAATGTGGATCAAAGTATCACCGACTAACTTGGAATCTATCCAAGGACAACCGTCTGAAACTCATGGCACTGCTATCTCCAACAAATCTAAAAGATTAAAATAAAATTTTGGAAATAGATTTTTTTTTAAAAATAATTAATGGAAATTTGGAACAAACAAAGAGACAAGAACCCTGTCATAAGCAAAGATTGCCAAGAACTTCATGAGAAAATTGGTTTCTTGATTAATTAAAAAGAATATATTCTTCTTGAGAATCATTTTCATCAAAAGGAGAATTTACTTTACTAACTTATGTGCAGAAGTTATTTACTATTTTTTTTGCAATTATCTTATATTGTAATAACTTCAGATTATTTGCTCTAATAAATACTTATTTTATTACTACTTTCTTACAATTCCAAAATTCATCAACACACTCTTCAATTTGTTAATATTATTATTGGTCATTAATATATTTTTTCCTATTTTCCACTCACTGGCCAAATTTCGGATAACATTTTCAAAATAATACTATATTTTTAAATTTTAAAAAAATTATAGAAAATAACTTTCATCATATCAAGATTATAGTACATATAATTAAATGAACAAAAAATGACTACTGAATACGGATTTTTATTGCTGGGACTTTTAAACTAGCTATTAACTAATAAATATTTTTTAATTTCTCTAATCTCATTGTTTATCGTATGCCATTGTTTTATTATTTATGTAAAGAGAAAATTACAAATAAATAAGTGAAAATAAATAGAATGTCAGGCATTGTTTCTCTAATCTCATTGTTTATCGTATTGTTTTTTCCACTCACGATTGTCGTATACAAAAATCAGATGGAACTGTTTTGTCCTTTGATAGAAATCTCAAATTTAATATTGAATATAAAGAAAATTCTATTAGGAGTGTCACACTTAAATTAAATTAATATACAATACACAATTCGATTTTTGAGCAAATAAGACACTAGGTGAGAAAGGAAAAATAAATTATGATATATATATACTAAAAGAGTCAGTGATGCTAGCTGTTACGAAAACACAAGGCTGCTAATATACATTCTTCCAAAAACTCTAGAAAGTACAAACCCACTCCACCTGCTCTTTCTAAAAAGAATTTCTCTCTCTTGCATGAATGAAAATGATGAAAGAGCAAAACCAGAAATCATGTTGATCAGAGATCAGTTATTTTAGAACACAGAGAGGAAGAATTTTTTATTTTTTTTTAAAATGCAGTTAATGTCACTTTTGAGGTCATCTCCAAGGAGCAGCTCCAATTACAGTCGGCACTTTGATATACCGGAGACAGAAACATCGGAGCATGTTGGTGGTGCAATGTTGCCTATTTTTCTCAACAATTTACAGAATACTAACAATTATGAGAGAGACTTGGTTGAGGTGACGCTACAGCTCGATAACAATTCCTTTGTTTTGTGTAGCGTAAAACCAAGTCCAGATCACAAAATCCAAATTGAAGAAGAAAATTCTCCCAGGAAATTCTCGTATTGGTTAAGATCACCGGAAAAGGATGATCAAAATCAGACGAGGGAGATGAAATTGAAAGTGGTGAGGAATAAATCGAGCACTGAGCGAGCTCTTGGAGGATTGAGATTCATAAGTAAAACGAGTGGAGAATGTGATAGTAATAATGATATTTGGGGAAAAGTTGAGAATCGGTTCAACGCTTTGGCCAAGGATGGTTTGCTGACAAGAGAAGATTTTGGTGAATGCATTGGTACATTACTTTCAAGTCGTTTCAGCTAACTGCCTTCTTTTCAACCACTCTGTTAAAAAATACACTAAATAGTATTTACGTTTTATAATCATGTATATGATATAGTTTTTTAATTACACGTGACATGGTGTAGGAATGGGGGATTCAAAAGAGTTTGCGGTGGGAGTTTTTGATGCATTAGTGCGAAGAAGGAGACAAAAGATGGCAAGGATTAGCAAAGCAGAGCTTCACGATTTCTGGTTGCAGATTTCTGACCAAAGTTTTCACGCCAGGCTTGAGATTTTCTTTGACATGTTTGTCTCTCTCTCTCTTCTATGCTTTTTCTGGTTTCCATTGTCTTCTTCTTCCCCAGTTTCAAAGTAAATATTAATGCTGCTAACACGAAAGCTTTATGTCCTCTTATGTTAAATAAAATTGGATTCGCTTCTTTTTACATTGAATTCTAATTTATCTCTATTATAGATACACTGATAATGACTGACCATCTTCTGTATTGGGAAGACGTGGCGGATTTGCCTAAAATCTTACCTCCACCAAATTTATGTACTAACTATTTATTCATTTCATCCAAAAACACTTGCTATAAAAATGGAAAAATAAGAATCCCAAAAGTATATAATGTAGCGAAAATAATTATTTGGTTAATAGTTTGATCTAAAAATGTGTTGTTATCAATAGTTTGATCTGAAAATATTTATATAGTCAATAATTTAGTTTTAAAATATCCATATAATTACATAATTGGTTAAAAATGTCTTTTTTTCTAATAAATATATATATATTTTTTTAAAACACATTTTTTTGGTAGAATTTTAAACACATTTGATTCCTAATAAGAGCACAGCTATTTTAAAAAACACCTATTAAAATCACTTTAACGAATAAATAATCTTTTTCAATTGCATATAATTCCAAGACACTGGCCTTTTTTTTCTGTTTTCCTCTGTGTCTTTCATATTACAAATTTGACTTGAATTACACGCTTACCTGTTGCTCCCTAGTCCCTCCCAATATTAATTACTATTGTGTCTTTCATGTTACAAGTCAGACTTGATATACACGTTTACCTATTACTAACTAATTTGGTGCAAAATGATTATACACACAAGTTTAATCTATAAAAGTAAAGCTGGAATTTAAGATCATAATATATATATATAGAATATCCAACAGTGTATATATATATATATATATATATATATATATATTGCCTTGATTAAACGTTGATGTAGCGTTTTCACCGACTTGCCTCATTTCCAAGTCAATAACACACTCTTTACATCTATTCTAGGCACTTCCCTGAGTTCGTAACTATTCATTGTTACTGTTTGTTATGGGATACCATTCGCTTTTCAAAATTTAAATTATAGTAATATTTTAAAATGTATTTTTTTTATCATATTGACAAAAGGAAATTTGTAATCCTTAATATTTTTCATATAGTTTTAATAAATCTAACTTTAACTATATGAGTTGATCTAATTAATTTTAACTTAAAAAAATTAATCTTAATCTCATAAAACAAAAAGTAGTATATAAATTGAGATGGTGGAGTATTTAATTTTTAATTGATGACGATGTAAATATGCATATTTTGATTATAGGGCTGATAGCAATGGAGATGGAAGAATCACGAAAGAAGAAGTTCAAGAGGTAAGATTATCATTGGTTCAACTTTCTCAATCAAAACAAATAGGGTGAACTAATAAAACAAAAAAAACAAAAAAAAGAGTGGTTCAGTTTTGGTCAAATTGACTAATTTCCGTCTAGAATGGGGGCAACTTAAATAATTATTTTTTTAAAAAAACAACTTGTTCTTCAATCTTCTAATTATTGTGAAAGTTTGAAAAGTCTGAACAGCTACTAGTATTTCAGAAACAATTTAATTTGTATCCAAAGATATCACTTTAAAATAAAAATAAAAAAGCCTCTACAATCAAATTAGTACTATTAGGGGTTGTTTGGTGTAAAGGATAAGTACAAATAATCTCGGGATTAAATTATAGTATCACTTAATTTGTTGTTTGGTTGGTAAGTTTGGGATAACTTATCCCGGGATTAATAATTAGTACCGGGATAAGTTATCCCTCCCCATGGGTGGTGTAGTAATTTCGGGATAACTTATCCTGGGATAAAATAGGTAAATGACAAATATGTCCCTTTAAATCCTTTTTATACACCATTTTTCACATTTATGTATATTTACATTTTTTAATACCATGTATAATAATATTTACTACTCCTTATTTTTATGATAATTATACATATTTTTCTATTAAAAAATTACACTATATAAATATAATTTTTATTTATGAATTTATTTGACTAATTCTTATGTTTATTTTATTTTGATTTCTCATAAATTTTCTTCTCTTTAACAAACTTAAGAGGGAAGTTCTATTTTAAAGCTAAATAAGAAAAAAGTTATCTTTTTAAATACACATGGTACTTATCACGGGGATACATAAACAAAAATATTTAAGTTGAATAAAATAAAAGTTTTATTTTAAAAAATGAATAACTAAAGCTCGCAAAGAAAAAATTAAAAAGTTTAAATAAAGTGAAGGGTAATTTTGTAAACAAACAACTTGTTCTTAAAATTTATCAATATATAATATTTTAAATACAACAAACCAAACATTCAATAAGAATTAATCTCAGGACAACTTATCTCATCATAACTAATCTCAACATAACTTATCGCATCATAACTTATCCCATCATATCTCATATTCAAACCAAACGAATTGCATAAAGTAAGTATGAGTATAAAACTTGATAAAGAACGCAACCCACTGCTTCATCCATAACCAGAGATCTCGGGTTTGAGTCTTGGGTATGGAGAAATTCTTGGTTGTAGCACCACCCTTGAATGAGTCAGTGCAATTTGAATTTAGTTGGAGCTCTAATGTTGGCTCTGAAACCAAAAAAATGAAAACTTGATAAAGATGGTAGGTAACTTTAAAAATCATTAGATTGTGAGATAATTCGTAATTTTATTTATATGTTTTTGTTCCTTGACCAGTTGATAATGGTGAGTGCTTCAGCAAATAAGCTATCAAAATTGAAGGAAAATGCAGGAGAGTATGCGTGTTTGATAATGGAGGAATTAGATCCAGAAGATGTTGGTTACATTGAGGTATGTTCCTCTGGCTTGCAAAGTGTGTTAAAAATAGCAACACTAATATGTGCCTTTTCCTTCAGTTATGGCAGTTGGAAACACTTCTTCTACAAAGGGACAATTACATGAGCTACAGTAGGCCTTTAAGCACAACCAGTGTCGACTGGAGTCCAAACATAGGAACCAGCAACGCCAACAACATAGTAAAGAAAGCAAGTCGTGCCCTCAAATGCCTTGTCTTAGACAACTGGCATAGAGGCTCTATTATCTTGCTATGGTTTCTCACTATGATTGGACTTTTCACTTGGAAATTCATGCAGTATAGGCAAATGGAAGCATTTCAAGTAATGGGTTACTGTTTGGCTACAGCTAAAGGGGCTGCCGAGACACTCAAGTTTAACATGGCACTAATCCTTTTACCAGTTTGTCGAAACATGTTAACTAGGTTACGTTCAACAAGAGCCAGGATACTTATTCCATTTGATGACAATATCAATTTTCACAAGGTAAACACTCCATACCTCAATTTATCACTAGTATCATATATTCCTTAACTACGCCATTGACTTGCAGATTATTGCACATGCCATAGCTGTTGGCATAATACTTCATGCAACCAACCATTTAGCCTGTGATTTTCCCCATTTGGTTAACTCATCGCCAGAAAAATTTGCACTCGTAGCTTCTGATTTTGACAAGTTGAAGCCAAGCTACATAAGTCTTTTGACTGGTGTTGAGGGCATCACCGGTATTTCTATGGTAATTTTGATGACTATAGCCTTCATACTGGCAACACGACGCTTCAGGAGGAGCGTACTCAAGTTGCCACCCCCTCTGAACCTATTAACAGGCTTTAATGCTTTTTGGTATTCTCATCACCTTCTGGCATTGGTCTATATATTGCTACTACTACACGGAACATTCCTGTTCTTTGTCCACAAATGGTATCAGAAGACGGTAAGGACTATGAAGATAATTAGTACAAAGAAAGAAAGCATTAAATTGAAAAAAACATTTATCCAAGATTATATGCTAACAATGTATCACCAATAACTATTGCAGACATGGATGTATATCTCCATTCCGTTAATCCTGTACATTGCAGAGAGGACTTTGAGAACATGGCGATCAGAAGACTATGCTGTTAAGATCTTGAAGGTAAGTTGCCAATGAGGCCTTCATCTCTAGCAAGCTAAGGGCAAGAAACTGATTCATGTGGTTAAATAGATGGCATTTTCATCAATTACACTTGTATTCTCGGGACAGTACAAGAAACTAGCTCCTAAAATGAAACTGTAGAACCACCTAAGAATATAGGGAGAGGAAGATGAAGAACAAGATAGAGGAAAACAAATAAAGAATTGATTTTCGGACCTTACAGGTTTCTGTACTTCCAGGAGATGTCTTGAGTTTGATCATGTCAAAACCAGCTGGCTTCAAATACAAGAGCGGGCAGTATATATTCCTGCAGTGCCCAACAATATCCTCATTTGAATGGTAGGTATTGTTGTTTCACATGCAAGCTTATTATGTTCCGAACAGGCATTGAACATATATCTCAATATTTCTCCAGGCATCCATTTTCTATAACATCAGCACCAGGAGATGACTACCTCAGTGTTTATATCCGGATCGTAGGTGACTGGACAAAAGAACTTAAGATGGTATTCACAGAGATTCCAGTATGTGTAGTTGGTCGAGCAAAGTTCAAAGAACATGAAAATGTTGATCAAAGAGGGTAACTTTACTATTTCTGTCCAGTAATCAAACGTACATCGTGATTTCCTTTACAAGTTCTAAAAATGCTATCGACCATGCAGTTGTTTACCTCGATTGTTAGTTGATGGACCATATGGAGCACCAGCACAAGAGTATCAAAATTATGATGTCTTACTTCTTGTAGGGCTTGGTATTGGAGCTACACCTTTTATAAGTATCCTAAAGGATCTACTGAACAATACAAGAGCACATGAAAATGTGGTAAATCTTACTTCATCATAACTTCAAAGCAATAACGTTGTAAGGCTACAAGTAAATATTTTCCGTCCATGATTCTGTTTCAGGATTCGAATACTGAGACCAGCGCATCAGATGATAGCTGGACAAGTTTTGCTTCTTCAAGCTCAGCATCAAGTGTAAAAAAGAAATCACAAAGGACAAGCAGTGCACATTTTTATTGGGTTACCAGAGAACCTGGATCTTTAGAGTGGTTCAAAGGAGTGATGAATGAAGTTGCAGAGATGGATCACAAAGTAGTACATACATACTTCTTGCTACATGTCCTTAAAATGCTCCTAATTGGAATTCTACGTTAGTCGATTTCTGTTTTAATATTATTGCCATCAACTCAGTTATGTTCTGTATTCTGGTGATGGAACAGGGTCAGATAGAGATGCATAATTATCTTACGAGTGTTTATGAAGAAGGTGATGCCAGATCAACTCTCATCACCATGCTCCAGGCACTTAATCATGCAAAACATGGTGTTGACATCTTGTCTGGCACTAGGGTATGATCCATTACTAACCTCACATAGACCTTATCAAAGTGAAATCTTTTTAATTCTACCGACTTTAAAACTAACTCTACTGCAGGTGAGGACACATTTTGCAAGGCCCAAATGGACTGAAGTGTTCAAGAGAATAGCTTTGAAACATCCCTACTCTACAGTTGGTAAAGAATTTCTACAATCTCAATTATGATAATTTATTAAGCACCAGCAGTTCTGACAAGTGCTCCTTCCTACATGATTTTGCTAGTTAACTTAGACCTAATGCTTATTGATTAATTCAGCAAAAATGAGACATCCTCATTCTAATGATAATCATCACATAGTAGAAGCTAATAAAACAACAAATATCAAAGGTTAGAGAAAATAGTCAAATAATCCTCTAACCTATTATCGGATTTCCAATTACACACTTATATTTCAAAGGGGTCCTATTACTATCCTTGACTATTTTAAAGTAGATTTATTTCCTCCCTGGAACGTCATTATCAGACATGTGTCTTGTGGTGAAATACAAGCACTTGCCACGTGTATTTCACCATTTAATAATATATTTTTTTTAAAAAAATTCTCCTCTTTCCTCCTCCTTTCTTCCTCAATCATTTCTTCAACCCTAAACTATAATAAACACCATCTTTTACCTCAACAAATTTCTATATCTCTAACAATTTATAAGAACGAAAATTCTGGTAAGCTTTTCACCCACTCCGAATCTCTAGAGCCTAGAAGATAGTGGCCTTAATCAAATCTTTCATTCGACCAATTCAACAATCTTTTCATATTTTTTTTTACATTTCATTTGATTTTCTTCATTAGAAAATTCCAAATACACATTGAATGGGTCATGAACATTCGAGATCAAATTTAACCTCCGACTATTCCATCGTCGACTCAGATCCATTGTGGATGAGCAGACCAATTTGTAACACCAATTTGAGAAACATCTCTCTGTTCCCCATTCTTTCTCCCTCTAAAATGTTCATAATTAATTTATAATTTGAGTATTTGATTTTGATTCTTCATGGGTTTTAGGAGAACATGTAGGAACCTTCTTTAAAAAAGTAGAAAATAATGTTTTGTTTCACATTGACTTTGTTACTCTTGAGTCTATGACTTTAAAAAAAAAAATCGAGTAATGGGTATATTTTTTTTTTAGCAATAAATTTAACAATTTGATTTTTTTTTTTTTTTAAATACAATTACTTCACATTGACTTTGTTACTCTTGAGTCCATAACTTTAAAAAAAATCAAGTAATGGGTATATTTATATTTTTTTTAGCAATAAATTTAATTTGTTAGATATGTTCTAAATAAGTTTATTGAAAAATTATTTATTCATAAAATGCATTAATTGTTGATAATTTTTATACCAAACATCCATTGATGAAGCTTCACCAATGATACTAGTGAAGAAGTTCCAGTTGTATAGATAAATAAGAAGAAAGAAAGAGAAAGAAAAAAGAAAAGAGAAAAAAGGGGAAATTAAAAAAAAAAAAACAGGCAACTCACTCTATCAAAGAGAGTGAAATACACATTCTTTGCCAACTTAATACTTGAAGGGTTATTTATTTCATTTTAAAGTAGTTCAAGGGGTAATATAACTCCCGTGAATTGTTAGTGTATAGTTAAAAATTCGGTAATAGGTTGGGGTCATTTCGCCATTTTCTCTCAAAAGTTATATACAAGCATGAAGAAGAATCTAAAAAATGCAGCAATATTGCTATATCCAAAGAACAACATGGTCGTTGATTAGATAAAAACAGAGTGGACATAACTCTACAATTAGAAAGGACCTAAAGGCATAGATCAGTTATTACAGAAGTCATGAATTGTAAACTCTTCATAGTTCATGAAATATTCAAACAATTAGATCAACTAACACCAGAAAGTATTTATCTTATTGAAGCATTTACAAAGTAGAACATCCAACCGGGCTCTTCCCAATTAACATTGTATATTGAAAAAGAAAGAGACACTAAATATAACAGAAAAATTAGAAAGAAAAATGGGAAAAAGTAAAAGTACCTCCCTAGACTATGACCCAAATTCAGAGACACACTTTAACTAAACTAAAGACCTATTACCTCCAAACTCATTTTTTAAATAATTTTGTACACCTTTTTGACTTACGTGGCATCCAAATATATCTCATGCACCTCAACTGCGTGGAATCACAGGGTGTACCACATAAGCCAAACCGTGTACAATATTATATATAAAATGAGTTCAGGAGGTAATAGGACTTTAGTTTAGTTAAGGTGTGTCTCTGGGATTTCGGTTATAGTCTGGGGATACTTGTGAGCAGTGGCGGAGGGAAGAATTTTCATCAAGGGGGTTCAAAAAAAATTAATCACGTAAATAATATCCACAAATAAACAGGTCGGATTAAACGGATCGAATCAAGAAGAAAAGGGTTTTTTAATATTTGACTTTGTAATTAGCGGTTAAACTAATAATTCCTAAATTCCCAATCAACGTTTTAATTTTATGGAACTAAACATCGTTTTCTGATTGCATTATTATTTTAAAAAAAAAATTAAAATGTCTAAAATATAAGCTGATAAAAAAATGCCTTTGCCCGGATTCGAACACACGACCTCGCGTGCAATAGAGCAAATTCCTGAACCCCCAACGCCACTGAGCTACACCTTTGGTATATATTCAAGGGGTTCAATAGTAGATATATACACGTAAATTAATATTTTAATCTTTATATAAATAGTGTAATTTTTCGATGAAGGGGGTTTGAATGAACCTCCATGGTTCAACGTAAATCCGCCCCTGCTTGTGAGTTGTGCCTTCTCCCAAAGAAAAAACTGCAAAATGAAACTGGAGACTGACAAAATGATATACAGGAGTCTTCTACTGTGGGATGCCTGTCTTGGCAAAGGAGTTGAAGAAGCTATCACAAGACTTAACTTACAAGACATCCACACGTTTCGAGTTCCACAAGGAGTACTTCTGATATTACCAATTTTCATCAATAATATCCTAGTGATTTTTTCCCTTTATATTTTGTGATTATTATTTATGTGATGCATGTACATGTATATTTCAATTCAAAAATGTAAATGGATGTATCATAGAAGATACTATATATGCTGAAAGAGAGTTTTCTCACTAGAAAATTGTAAATGTTCATCAAAGCAATCATTTTACAGAAATACATAGGACATATTATTGTACCATAATGCACATCTTGTGTGTATCTTTTTTTTTTTGTTATGATGGTGTCCGGACCAGCATGCGCACTATGACTATTCACTAGCTACCTGTTACGGCCGCCCTACGTACCTCCCACCAACCTAGGAAGAAAGATTTAGGCAAATGAGAAGAAATCATTTGTTCCCTTTGCCCCAATTTATGTAACGAAATCACCTGTTTCATCGGTCCAAGTTTATGCAACACTCTTTCCTTTTAACTCCATCACAAAAAATCATGACCCATTTCTATGTTTATTACTCCCTCTAGTTCATATTAAGTGAATTGTTGAGACTTTGTTTTCATATTTATCCTTCATGTAATGAGGTTCTTAACTACTTTACATATTATAGTACAATAGTTTGGAAATAGCCAAAAGGGTTGTTGATACCCAATTTTGACCGACCAATAACCCCTTTGGAAGTGCTATTCGATTAAATACGTATTTTTAAAATATATTTCATGTTTAAGATTTTAATTAATTTTATCTAAATAAAAATATATGTATTTCCAAAAATTATTAAGTTATTATAATAGTTAAACTTGAAATAATTATTTTACTCAAATGTTTTAAAATTTAAGTGATTTTAATATTTTAATGGGTAAATGGTCAAATATGTCCCTAAACTATTCGAAAAGGTTTAGATATACCCTCCGTTTAAAGTTTGGCTCACTCATGATCTCGTTGTCCAACTTTTGGTCTAAATATGCCGTTATGGGCGTTAGTTGGCTTGCTGGACATATCCAGCTCATTTTTCATTTCTTTAAATGCCACATGGAATTGCCATGTCATTTTGACTTTACCACATGACATTTATATGAAAATGGAAAGGGATCAATTATGCCCCTAAAAAATTCGAGCCCATAAACACCTAATCCGACCCATAAATCAACCCCCTTTTTAAATAAACTACCCGACCTGTTTTCAACAATTTTGTTTAAATTTTATTTTTTTCGGTAAATCCTGAAAATGAGTAATTGATTAATAAAAAATATGAAAATATATAAAATTAACGCCAAAAAATCACAAACAAATATAGTAACCTTAAATTAAAAAATTTGAACAATTTTTTTAAAATTTTTATTCTTTCCGGCAAATTTTGAAAATGAGTAATTTATTAAAAATTTAAAAAAATTGTTGAAATTTTTGAATTTAAGGTTACTATATTTATTTGTGGTTTTTGGGGTTAATTTTATATTTTTTTTCATATTTTTTATTAATCAATTACTCATTTTTGGGATTTACCGAAAAAAATTAAAATTTCAAAAAAATTGTTGAAATTGTTGAATTTAAGGTTACAATATTTATTTGTGAATTTTTGGCATTAATTTTATATTTCTTTTTCATATTTTTCCTATTTTTTATTAATCAATTACTAATTTTTGGGATTTACCGAAAAAAATAAAAATTTAAACAAAATTGTTGAAAATGGGTCGGGTAGTTTATTTAAAAGGGGGGGGGGGTTGATTTATGGGTCGGATTAGGTGTTTATGGGTTCGAATTTTTTAGGGGTATAATTGATCCCTTTCCATTTTCATATAAATGTCATGTGGTAAAGTCAAAATGACATGGCAATTCCATGTGGCATTTAAAGAATGAAAAATGAGCTGGATATGTCCAGCATGCCAACTAACTCCCATAAGGGCATATTTAAACCAAAAGTTGGATGGCGAGGGCATGAGTAAGCCCAACTTTAAACGGAGGGTATATCTAGACCTTTTCGAATAGTTTAGGGGCATTTTTGACACTTTACCCTCTTTTAATATAGGTAGTATTTTAATTGGATAGCATTTCCTTAAATTTCCTCTAAATTATTTAAATTTTAGCCTATTATGTTCTAATTCCTTTCAATTCTAGCCACTCCAATTCCAATTTATTTCAATTGTAGCCATTATTAATTTCAATTGTAGCCAACCCCATCTGTTAATCCTGACCGTCGATCTCATTTCTTTTAATCTTAACCTCTCATCTCAATCTAAATCAACGGACCGGTTCTATCAAGCTTTTATTTCCAAAAAAAGGACCAAAACCTTACATTTTTTTCCATTCATTCTCCCTCTCTTCTCCAAAGCGTCGCTCCTCCTCTCTCTTCTTCCTCAGATCGCCGCCTCCGCAAGAACCGGCAAGCCACTAAGGAAATCAGCCGCCTCTCTCTCTCTCTCAATTCCACCAGCTATGGCAAACCTCCGGCGTGAACCGCCGGCAGTAACCAGCAGCCAGGTGCGCACTACAACAAATGTGATATATAACTACGAAATTATTAGCTACGATATCAAATTTGTCACTAATTATTCGCTTTTAGTGACAAAATTTACTTTTCGTGCTTAAATATATGAGACACATACATTTAGTGACGAAACAAAAAAATCCGTAGCAAAGTTTCGTCTACTATAGTTTACCACCAAAAAATTAATTGGCGCCATTTGTTAAGTAGTGTTAGTCACGAATTTAAAGTTATCGGTGACACATTATTTCATCACTAATAATGTATCTAATTCATGACAAATTACTTTTTGTCTTAAAATTTATTGATTTTTTTACCCAAAAAAATTTCATCCAAAAAAATATGTTGTTACAATATCGACAAATTTGAATTCGTAGTTAAATATTATAAGTTTTAGCTATAAGAATTTAGCTTTAATTATGATATTTATTTTCGTCACTAATAGTATAAATAATTGGTGACAAGGATTTTATTGTCTCTAAACAATCTGTGATTTAGTGACAACAAAAAAATTGTCACAAAATATGTAATGTGTTAAATAACGACGACTTAAAATTTGTAGTGAATAATTCAACTATTTGCTACAAAAAAAATTCATAGCTATTGTGGAATGACCCCTACCTATATGACCCCTATATGAATGTGTGATCATATACATGTTAGGAGTACCTATTCAATGTTGAATGTGTCCTTGTCTCCTATGATGAAGTGTGGGTGTGTGGTCTAGAATCACTAAAGGCTTTATATGTGAATTGCTTATGATTTGGGGACATTGTAAATGTGTTGTGATCCCTTGAAGGGAAGTGCACTCAATATCAATGTTGATGCTATTATGTCACTATGAAGACCAATATGCGCGCACACACACTCTACATGTATGGCTATAAATATGATGTCTTATGGTGTCTATTGAAAGGTTAACTCTTATATGCACCCTTACATCTTATTATGCATGCAAAGTGTATGATTAGCAAGGTATGAATATGTGTTGTATAAAAGTGTTTATGTGAAAGGCTTTCTCACATATGTACACACACATGAATGAATGAATAAGGTTTATTATATTCTAGTGAAAGTGAGTCTCTTGAATGGTTTCCTCAATTGTACTCTAAACTAGACTATGTTATGAATATGGTATGACTATGTGAAAGGTCATTCTCACATAATGTAGGTTCTATGATGAAAGGTCATTCTCATTTTAGAAACCTTTGAGCTATATGATATGATGGATTAAGTCCCTAAAGCCTATTTTATGAACTAATGTTAAATAAAGACTTAAAGATGTTTAAAAAGGGAGTTGGTGCTTAGCACCGAGTGAACATGAAAAATGAGAGTGGGGGCTTCACGTTTAGCAAGTACGACTTCCCACAAGAGAACCTTCACGTTTAGCAAGTCCGGGTTCCCAACATAGATATTGTCTCATGAGATGGAAACCTCCACACCTAGTAAGTCAAGGTTTCTAGTAGCAATCTCCTTGTTCCATAACTATGTTCCCCCGTAGGTATTAGCTTAGTGGATCCACTAGATAGCTATTATGTATGTAGGTCCTACTTTGGCAAGTAGTACCCTCTCTTTTCGGTGTGGGAGTAGAACATCGGATTCCATGTAGCTCACATGGTCTATGTCGGTTATGGCAATGTCTCCCAAAAGTTAAGAAATGAACTAAGATAAGAATATGAACCTAGTCATGTTTTTTGAAGAGTTACTTAGTGTAGGTAGGACTATGGACCCTACTTATGCATTGCACAAGTGGACTCCAAGGGAGGTTATGATTAGGCTCTTTATGTAATGAAGACTATGCTATATATATGTTAATATAAAAGCATGTTAAGGTTGACTTCAGGTATGTCAAGACATGAAGTATGATTATGCATGTGAATTACACTTATGACTTCATAATGGGTTTCCTTAGTATATGTGGGGGTATGGGACTCCATGTGTATATTGCACAAGTGATCATGTCAAGGGGTTGTGAGGGTGGTTTACATATGATATGAACTAAATGGGTTATGACTAATGATGTAGTAAATGAATGAGTCCTTATATGATGTTATGAAGTATGTTGGTCTTATGTCTAATGTTAAAAGAAGATGTTATGACTTGTTCAATATGACGTGCCTAGTCTATGGTGAGTTCCTAGGAACACTTGGTGGGAGTAGTATTATGGGATGCTACTTGCACATTGCACTAGTGTGACTTGGGGGTTGTCTTAGGTGATGGTTCTTATGTGAAGACTATGTCTTATCGTGTGCTTATGACTCTATGAATATATGTGGTTGGGTTGATGAAGGCTATATGTAAGTTCACCCTTGGTAACCTTAAGGTGACACATTGCACCAAGTATTCCCTAAGGGTTGCTTGATGAAAGGAGTTAAGATAAAGAGGAAGGTAATGTATTGTATGCATTGAATGTGCCTAAAATGTTATAAGTGGCTCTATGTGCAATTATGAATGGTTTCCATGTGTATGATGATGTATGTGGTTTATATTGTGCCTATTCTACTAAATGTTATTGAAGTTTCTCTAAAAAGGCATGATG